TTATATGAAACGTAAGTAACGTTTAGGCAATAACCAAAAACAGAACAAATAAAGTCTGAAATCTAAATGGGTAATAAACCGAAATAAGACTATAATCAGTACATCAGTAAAATGGACGACAAAAATTAGTACCAGTGACACAAGATAAAAATCTCCAAAGATACCTTAAGGTTCGCAAAAAAACATGACGTAACATCAATCAATAACAGCAATGTAATATACAAATATAACGAGTGAAAAAGTAAGTAAATCAAGACAAGATCAAGAAATTATATTGTCTTCTCCACTACTTACCGTATATTCTGGGCAAATTATGAATGACACTCGATTCGAAAGAGGCTGAAATCAATATAAAAAATGCTGATGTGAAGGTAAAATATGTAGTGTAATCTGTATTTCTAGAATATATTAATTATTCGCTTTATTATTAAGTTTTAAGAAAAATCAATAAATAGGTCAATTTTTAATTCAGAAATTAAAATTTTAGAATAACATTGTTCATCTGCCTGTTCAGCCTCTTTGATGGAAAATTATCCATTTAAAAGCTTGTAATGGAAAGGGTTAGCGCACAACATTTTATTTTTCTGTCGTTTTCTACATGCCTATTCCATAAGTCGTGGGAAGAAAGAGGGAACAGCATTTAAATGGCAACTGACATGGCTGGAGGTACTTCGCTACCGAGAATAAATGAAAAAAACGAAACCTTTTTTAGCCATAAAGATATTAATAAATATACATGAAGTGTTCGAGTATGAAGATCGATAATATGGTAAATTCAAATAATACACTAAATCCTAATCCGTGGAATGAAGAAAAATCAACTAATAATTAAGGAATGGAATGTCAACGTCTTGGAAAGTTAGAAACTTTCAATTACTCTAGGCCTCTACTGTACTCAAAAACTAATGTAAATTACAAAAATGTTTCAGTTTTATTATCGGAAGATCAAACATTCGGACGTACAGGTATCATTCTAATATTAATAATAAACAACACACACAGACTACTAAATTAACTAAAATTCTAAATTACTACAGAAAAAAGAAGTATAAGACTCCCGATGAAAAGATGAAGTGAAGTTTGATGGCGGAACAAGTAAAAAATGTCTAAACCTAAAGTGTGGAGTAAAAAAGGTTTCGTATATTAACACTAAATTCTCTAAAATAATAATTATAAACAAATCTTTAAATAAATTTGAAACAAAGGTGATCAAAAAATAAGCCTATAGATAAGAAGATTGTAATATATGAAGCATATAACGCTTGGTGAAGAACACAATTATGTTTAAAACTCATAAGAAGAAGTATCAGTACCAGCAGAAAATAAAGCTAATATTGACTAAGCTATTGAGACAGCTAAGCGTGAAACAGGAGAAGAAAAGATCATCGAAGATGAATGGAATATCATCCGGACAACAAGGGAAACATTAGGCGAAACCTCATGCAAAATAAACGAGGAATGGTTTGACCAAGATTGACAAAAAGTAATCAATAGCAAACATACAGCTAGGCAGAAATGTCTACAAAAAAATTTCCGTTTGAAGGGATAATAAATAGAGAAATATAAAATAGAAAATAGAAAGTTAAATAGAAAAATATAACAAATTACATATACATATAACAAAGTCGAATCGACATGAGAATCTGAAGGTAGATAACCATTCCTACGAATATGCCTCCACTTTTCCCTACCTAGGCTCAATAATAAATGACAGCAACAACGTCAGTCAAGAAATACAAACACCGATTCTTAGATTCTTTCAACCACTGATGAAAATGAATTTAGAATATTTGAGCGCAAAATATTAAGTAAGATAATTGGACCAACCCATCGTAGATATCGTTCGTGGAGAATAAAAATGGCTTTGGTCTTAATGAATTAATTTAGAGCGCAGATATCGTTAGATTTGTAAAGTCACAAAGACTAAACTGTCTTGGCCACTTAAGAAAGAATGTTGGAAAAGAATGGTCTATAAAATTAATCCAGAAATGGAAACCCCAAGGAAATATGCCAAAGAAAGTATCCGACAGGACAGAATGGAAGAACGTTGTTAAGTCGGTTAAGACCCACAAAGGGTTGTAGCGCCATTAGAAGGAAAAGAAGAACACTTGGTGAGAAGTAGAGAGTACAGGCTTGCCGAACTTTGTAGTGTAGATACAACGGAACAAGAAAATCATGTTTTATTTTCGTAGTTCCGTTCAGAATGATATTGGACTCATTATGTTTGTTTTGCAAGTTATTTCCATTGATATAAATAACATTCATTCCAATAGCTATATACAGTACAATGCACGTGGTTCAAAAAATTATCTTTCATATTCTAATACCCAAATAAAATTCTTGAATAATTTCTAAAGTAGTTTAGACGACATCAATGATCATAGTAGTCCCCAAAATCCTGCATGTTGCTTATTGCATTGTATGCTTGCTTTTATTTATTTGTTTTATAAATTTTAGTAAAATAGAAGAAATTACCAATTTATCAAACGAACAGTAATTTAAAAATATATCGTTAGTTTTTATATTTCAGATACAGAAATAGTATGTATGTGCTATTCGATTAAAGCTAGCAAATCTCAAATTTTTTGGGAAACCCTGCGGTAACGTAATAAAATCCTTTCAAAGGCATATTGAGCTAATACGGCCTTGGGCGTCCACTTGAGGTGGACTGTAGATAGAGAATTTTTGTAAAATACATCTCACGCTACGGATTTATTTTGTTTTGATATTACACTGATCGGAAAACTTATCAGCAAACCAATTCTGATAGTAATTGAATAAATTAATATCAAAAATAATCTATCTGATGTTCATTGTCCGCTACCCTGAGCAAGGCAGTAATTATAGTCATAAAAACTTAACCTTAAATTGACAAACCTGTTAAGGCTAATATTGTGCGAAGCACGTTTAATTTTGAATTACAAGTTCTTCCCAATTAATAGCCATACCATGAGCATAAATGGATGATATGACGTGTTCCCACAAGAAAAAATCGTTGGGTGACAGATCTGGTGACCTCGGTGTCCACAAGATAGTTCCTTGTCTGTCGCGTATTAAACAATTTGGAATGTAACATCTAAATATTACCGTGCCAAATCGTTGTTGTGTGAATGTCACCCATCTTGTTGAAACCAGATGTCATTGAATCTGTTACCAGCAATTCTATAAATTTACGAAACAAGTTACTGCCGTAGTAGGTCCATATACTTTGCTCCAGTTAGTTTTCCGTTTATAAAAAATGGTCCAATCATATAAGCTTCCAATATTCCATCACATTTAACTTTCGAAGATATTGAGTTCGCACGTCCATGGAGTTCGCACTTGAAAAAAAAAGAAGTATGTTTTCCCGAGCCAATAACCTACGTGAGATGAATTGTCATTAATTAGTAATAGAAATATTGATTCATCCGTAAACACAATATCATTGAGAGAATCTTAGTTACGATTAGCCTTTTCCATTATCGCTTTACAAAACGCAATTCCATTCCATGAGTTTTTTTGTATGATCGATACCATTTTTTGTTTAACATTTTTCTTACTATGTTCTAACCTGTGTCAGTTGTTTCATCAACTTGTTAGCAGGACATTGTAAAAGCGTCATTGATACACGCATAAATCATCACTTGTTTCTGTTCCCGATCTTAATCAAAAAGAGACTCACGGATCTGCGAAGGATAACGCATCCAGTCTGTTCAAAATTCATGATAATACTCGATACAGTTTTCAAATTCACTGTAAAATAGTTCTTGAATTTGTCAAAGTGTATTACCTTAGTAATGCCATTTGACAATTTGAACTTTCTCCGTAACTGAATAAACCATAAATAAAAATGTATTTTTCTTAAAAAAAAAACAGTTTCGCTACCGACATGTTTCCACAAGCAGTCAGTCTCAAATGAAACGTCGCATAAGCTGTAAGCCACGGCTGACGTCCACGTATGAGAACGGCCTAACTAGCTCAATGCGTCAAATAGTAGTATCGCAATTATGCTTATATGTGTCTAGTCTTAAAACAAAAGCATTTACACAGAACAGAAAAAAAAATAATGAAAGCACAAATTCTGATGGAAAGACACATACTGACTTTCAAATTAGTGTACCAGAAAAATTGGTCATAAAGAACATTCTGTTGAATGGAAATTATTCAAAATAAAGAGAAATGCATAAAAAAAGAAACCTCTCCATAACGAGAGATGTTTATGGTGGGTTGATGGATGTGTATATCATACAAATCATAAACTGAATTGAATGAAGGGCACCCTAATTAATGAATTATCGGTTACTTGATGGAAATTTATTAGTAGTGCCACAACGCTATGATTTCCACAGAATATATAGTGCATTTGACATGTTTCACTGAAACATTGGTTTCTTCAGATGTAAAGTAATTTTAACCACTCCTATGTGCTAGCATTTTGTGTACCAGAATATTTATTACTATATGTCCTAACTAAAGACATATGGAAGGATACCCCCAATAAAAAATACCCTACCTCATCAACGAGTAATGTTGGGAGGTTTTCTTTATTATGTCTAATGGATATTTAGTCAGGAAAAGTGGTAAAAAGTTGTGAGTTAAGTAGGTTGTTTGCACAAGGAAGTGGTTAATTTAAAATAATTTTTTTCTGAAAAAGCTTTTAGTTCAACCTATCAAGTTGACTATATTCTGTTGGAATAAGAAACAATGCTTTATTTTTTATTATTGAATAGAATCATATAAGTAAACTTAACCTTGGGTAATTGTATTGTAACTTAGATTTTAGATTATAGTTTAAATGTAGTTTATCTAGTTTATATTACATATTTAGAATTATACATCCATTTGAATACATAACGAACATTGTTAGTAAGACACCAAAAATAATATTAAAACAACATAAGTGCTGTATGGATTTCTTCTATTTTTATGCTTTATTTTTTTACACCTTAGATTTGATGTATTTTACCGTATTAGTAAAAATCTACTTATCTTCATTACAACCTCGATCTAATGGCAAATAGTTACAGGTATATGAAATCGATTTTTCCACGTGCCGACGAGATGATCATTCTGGACGTGCTGCAAGGTAACGAAAACAATATTCAAAAAGCTTCAGATGTCCTCAAAGAGATGGGTTTTGAGCGAAAAGATACTGTAAAGGTTGCACAGCAGAAATTGGACGCCAAAAAGGAACAAGAGAGGAGGGAAGAGGAACAAGAAGTGACGGTGGCCGTTGTCCAACCACGTGTAAAGACAAGCGAAGAAAAGCAAAGAGGTAGTTTGATTAATATTTTCTTTACGTAATTTATATTATAGTATTTTGTAGTTACGATCCAAATGGCGACAATTTTGTTTTTTTCACCTTCTTCTTCTTAAGGTGGCTTCTCCATTACTAAAGGTTGTCTATAACTACAGCAAATTGCTCTCTATATTAAGCTGTTCTTAGTATCGAATGTGTGTCCATGCCTGTCCATTCTCTTACATTTTTCAACCAGGAGCATTTTCTTCTTCCTGGACCTCTTCTTTCTTTCTCTTTCCCTTCCATTATAAGTCGTAGGAAGGTGTATTTTTCTCCTATTTAAATATGTCCTAGATAACTCGTTTTCTGTTTTTTACAATATTTAGGAGTTCTCTCTCAGTACCCATTCTTCTTAGCACCTCGTTGTTGGTCACGCGCTCTATCCAAGAGATCTTCAGCATCCTTCGAAAAACCCACAATGGCTTCTATACGCCTCATACTTGTAATTTCTAGAGTTCATGGTTCCACTCCCTATAGCAATATGGAATAAATAAACGTTTTTACAAATTGGTGTCGGATATCCAACGATAACGTAGAGTTTATTAGGAATTTTTTCATTCGTTGAAATGCGGACTTAACATATTCTATACGAGCACGTATTTCGACCTGGTGGTCAAGATCGTTTGTTATCCAGCAACCAAGATACTGGAACTTTTTACCGGTTCTATATGTTTGTTATAGATACGAATATTAATGTCGACATTTGGCCCACGTCCAACAGCCATTACTTTTGTTTTATTTATGTTTATATTTAGTCCCAAGCTCTCTGGTTATGACATTCAAAAGTCGTTGTAAACCCTCAGCACTGTTCGCAATAATGACGGTGTCGTCTGCGTATCTTTAGTTGTTTACGTATTCTACGTTGATTTTTATTCCTTCTTCAATATTTTCGAGGGCATTTTGAAAGATCTTTTCGGAATATATATTAAATAACAGTGGAGAAAGTACACAGCCCTGACGAACTCCTCTTTTTATTGACAATTCTGCTATCAGACGATTTTCTATTTTGATCGACGCCATTTGATCCCAAAAGTGCGACAGTGTTATGGTCTATACCATGTTGTGTTAGGGTTTCTATGAGTTCTGTGTGTTTTACTCGATCAAACGCTTTTTCGTAATCGATAAAACAGAGAAACGCGTCTTTTCGCTGATCTCGACGTTAAACGAGGGTATAAAAATATTACACACCGACATCTACATCCCCCTTTACACCCTAGGACGACAAATTCAGAATCTTCAGGTAATACTCCTGTGGCTTTTCTTCCGTATATTCGAAATGTCACTGATAGGATTGGCAAAATTCTTCGCAAAGAAGGTATCAGGACTACTTTTCGACCACCCAAGAGAATCTCACAATATCTACCCTCTTCTAAGGACCCATTACCGCCCCTATCTTCCTGTGGTGTCTATTCTATTCCTTGTTTATGTGGACATGTGTATATTGGCGAAACTGGTCGTTCCGTCAAAACTCGGATTCAAGAGCATCAAAGATGCATTCGATCAGGTCTTTTCTCCCATTCTGCAGTTGCAGAACACTGCCAAGAAACCGGTCATTCCATATTGTTCGAAAAAACCCATATTATTTCTAAAAGCCCCTTCTTTTATTCTAGGAAAATCCGCGAATCTCTAGAGATCCGAAAAAATCCCCATAATATCAATCGAGAGGAAGGATACTACTTGTCTCCCATCTGGAATCTCAGTCTAGAACCGCCGTCCGGTCCCGCCACTACGATGCAGCCACATGATTGGCCAGCGCGCGCTTCTTGACGTTCGCGCCACGAAGTGTGCCGATACGTCCCGACACGACAGGCACCGCGACTATAAATAGAGCGGTAGCGGAGTAATCGTCGGATTCACTCCCCGCCTCTCGACGCGTTAGTGTTCTGAGCTGTTGGACGTGAATCCCTGTCCTGGCATTTGGTTTTCACCTCTGGCTGCGTTGAGTAGTTGAGTTACTGTGACCAAATGCCCATCTTGGTAGTTAGTATTCGCCTCTGGTTGCGTTGAGTAACTGAGTTACCGTTGCTAACTACCCATCTTCCTGTTCTTTGTTTTCTTCTTTCTTTCTTTTTTCTTTTTTGTTCTCCTGAAGAAGTTACATACAATTGTAGCGAAACGTCGAGATGAACCCACTTTTGGGTCACTCACAAATGACACGGTCCAAACCCGGAAGACGAACAAACTATAATTCTGACTCTGGCCGTGGAAGCCTACGATTTCATCAGATCTTTGATGTATTTTTCCCACATACCTCCTACATTTTCTGGGCTAGATACTATTTGGTTGTTATCATCTACTAAAGTTGTTGTAGTGATTTTATTCTTCATATTTGTGACTTCCTTAATCTTTTTTATACATTAAAGTAGTCATGTTTTTTTAGTAAATCTCTCAGTTCCTCACAGTTGCTGCTCATGCATTCTTCTTTGGCTTTCCTGATTTTGTTTAGGATGATTCTCTGGGTTTTTTTTTATATCTTTCTTCATTGCGATTTTTGTAAAATCTCCTTATGTCCATCAGTTCTAGGACTTCTGTCATCCATGTATTCTTTGTTTTTCTGATGTTGTCTTGTGGTAGTTCTTTTTGTATAGTTGTGATTGTTGTTTTGAAGGTGTGCCAAATACTTTCTATTGTTTCTTCTGCTTCCGCGGGTGCTTCACTGAACTTTTCTTTCTGAACATTTTTCGAGGCTAGATTTTATCTTATCTCTGTATTTGATTTTCTTTCATCATCAATCAGCCAATTGCGTCCACTGCTGGACATAGGCCTCCCTCAGTTCTTTCCAGTGTTCTCTACACTGGGCCGCTTGTAGCCAGTTTCCCGCTACACGTTTTATATCATCGGTCCATCTAGTCGGTGGTCGTCCTCGGCTTCTTTTATAGTTTCTGGGCCTCCATTCCATAATGCGTCTTGTCCACCGTCCATCTTGTGTTCTGGCTAAGTGCCCTGCCCAGTTCCACTTAAGCGTCGTGGTTCTTTCGATGACGTCTTGAACTCCTGATCTTTGTCTGATTTGTTGGTTTGTTATGTGGTCTCGAAGACTCACGTTCAGCATTACACGTTCCATGGCTCGTTGTGTAACTCTGAGTTTATTCGCAGATTTTTGCGTGAGTGTTAAAGTCTCTGCTCCATAAGTTTGTACAGGCAAAACACATTGGATATAAACCTTTCGCTTGAGACACATGGGAATTAAACTTTTTAGAATATGGCTTAATTTGCCAAATGCTGCCCATGTTAGGCCTATTCGCCTCTGTATTTCATGTGTTTGATTGTCTCTGTTTATTTTGATTTCGTGCCCCAGATATTTGTAAGTGTCTATTTGTTGTATGGTATTATTGTCAATAGTTATGTTTCCACTCATTACGAGATTTGTTATAAGCTTAGTTTTCTCAAAGTTTATCTTTAATCCTGCTCTTTCAGATAGACTTTTTAAGCGAAAGAGAGTAATTTCCACTAGTTTGCCGGTGATTGACCACTTAAACCATTATATTATTTATTTATAACTTAAACTCCCACACGTCCATCCCATTCGAATAACTTTCCAAACCTAAAATTGACCTTCGTTCGATCTACAAACCAAACACAAATCTCTTCCCCCCACGCCTCTTACAACCCGTACACGCCAAGGAACCGACTCCTTTTCGTTACCACTTACCAAACGTGAAAAATAACCTTGAATCTTCCGGCCTGCTTCCGGCGTTATTGTTTTTTAGAGAAATGAATACAAGACTTGCAATATTTTTTCTAGGAACGTTGAACTTAAAACGCCGTATATCGATCGTTTTAAAATTCATTTGCAAAAGATAAACGAAAAAATTTCCTCTCGACAGGGGCGTACTACAAAATTTTATACATAAATATTTTATAGTTAAAACAAATTTAAAACGATACATTGTTACAGTCATCATCATCAACTCTAGTGTTTTTATATTTACTCTTTATTAGACGATTAGTAAATTGGTCCAAAACATGCCTTAAACAGTTCGTAATATCCATATTATTTGGATTATATATTTCACTGGTAGTTTTTATTGAATCATTAATTAATCATATTGAATATTTATTGAATCATAAATTATTATTTTTACAAATCTGTGTTGAATATGTGTTAACTTATATAATGTTTTAGTAAAAGTATCGTTGCAAGAAAAGTACAAGGATGTTGCTGAACACCTAATATGTATAGCTCTAGAGAGTGTAAATTTTGATGAAGAAAGAGCAAATCAAATTTTACAAATTATGATTCAGGAAGATAGCAAATCCTCCAATGCCGATAAGAAAGGGTAAGTTTTTTTGGAAATAAAGATAATGAAAATATAATTAAAAATCCTTTGTAATAGGTATATATTTAAGGCCCAAACGGGCTAAGTTAAAAAGACATAACGTTTTCGGAAACCATGTTCCATCATCAGTGTCTAGGCGTACATGAATGTAGCCACCAAGATTAAATATATGGGTAAAAACCCGTTAACAGATGTTTAATTACATTTAGTTATAAAAATATGTTATAATAATTTAAGATTATAGAGTTACCGATGGATTAGGTAACATGGCGACATATTATGTCGCCATGTTACTATGGTTGAAGAAACTATGGTTGAGAAATTTGCTAGACCTGTCCAAATTGATACTTTGATTGATAATGAAATGTAACAATAAAACACTGAAAACTTTGTTTTCAAACTTCTACAAAAATTTATTTTAACTCTTATCACTACAGATGTTTCGGCTGATAGCCTTTCTCAAGTGATCTATTTTTGGCTTGGGTTTACAAATTTATAGTCTCTAATGAAATAAGTTGAGGAGGGGAGAACTGTTTGTCTCAAGTTGGTCATTCAGAATTATATCTGTGTTTTTTAACTTGTTGATTTTCATAGATTTTAACAAGGATAGCTTAAGGCCTTTATTTCGAATGTGGAGAATTTTAAATTCGTCGTTAAAAGAATGATTGTGATCTATAAGGTGAAGTGCGTATGTAGAGTCTGTTTTTCTATTATTGAAAGCCCTTTTATGTTCTGCTATTCGTTTGTTAAAGTTTCTACCAGTTTGACCGATGTAAGTTTTTGGGCAGTCGCCACATTTAAGTTTTTACACACCACTGTGTAAGTGTTTTTTATTTTGGCTGTTGTTGTTTTTGATATATTTGCCTAGGTTGTTATTTGTTCGGAAAACTGGTGTTATTCCTTTCTTTTATAATATAATAATGCTATAATAATGCTAATATAATATAATAAGATAATGAAATGACTCAAAGAGAAGTGGCCAGACAGCTTGGAGTCAGTCGTTATATGGTCCAAAAAACATACACAGGATCTCACGAATGACGACCAGGATCAGTTGCGAGATGACCGTTCTTTACAACGCACCTTACAAAATCGGTTCTTTACGGCTAGAGCAATCCAAAACCGTTTTCAAAATGCTCACGGGGGCGCATTAAGCACTTCTACAGTGAGAAGATAGTTGAGGGAATTTGGTCTAAGGGCTCGCTGCCCAGCATCTTGACCTTTACAAAAACGTACAGCAGACGTGGGCAACGATATGCTGCTTGTGCTCATCGACTTTTGGAGGAGGCTCTGTAATATTTTGGCAGGCATTTCATTCGAAGGCCGTACTGATGTGTTTATTAATAGAGGAGCGTTGAATGCTCACCGATATATTACCGAAGTTCTAAACGAGCATGCAATGTCTTTTGCTGATTTGAACTCGATTGAGCACGTTTGGCATTAACTCAAACGAAGAGTAAGAAACAGAATACCTGCTCCAGTAAATCGTGAGCAGCTTCGATTGGCGCTCATGGAAGAATGGGAAGCTTTTCCTCAAAACAACATCAAGAATTTAATCAATTCAATGCCAAGTCGAATAAGGAGTGTAATTCAAAATAGAGGTGGTAATACAGAATATTAAAAATCACGATTTTTTCCATTAAAATCATTATTTTGGCAGAAGTTTTTTTTTGACATTTTTGACTAAAAAATGCCACAAATCGTTTTAAAATTAAATATTATGGGCATATCAGGAACCATTTAGTACCAAAATCTCTATATAATTTCACAAAATTTCCACGTTTTTTAGGTAAACAAAATACGAGTTATAAAGGCAATCAAGATCAAGATGAAGAAACACTCATGTACAAATCTTGTGTTGTAGATTATTAGTCTTTATGCAATTGTCACACTTGTAATTAATATTAAATTATTGTTTTTTTAGCGAAGACACAGTGGATCTTCTTAGTCAACCTTCCACTTCCAGTGCTACTCTTAATATCCCAGTCTCACAAAGTAGACAGTCTTTGAAGTCATTACTAAAAAGCGAGAAAGAACTTGATAAGAACAGTTATTCCCGAGTTGTAGAAGAGGATGAAGCGACATATAAATCTACCAACTTGTGTAATACCAGAGGCCCCAATCCCGAGTATGTAAAAGGAGCAAACGAGCAACTCCTGTTGTAAGTATTTGAATGTAATCAGGAACGATCCTCCTCTAGAGAATGTTTCATATTTTTATTAATACGTAACGACGACAAAAACTCATCTACCTGTCTCAGAATAAAAAGTAAAACACTAATAAAAACACACATAAAGTTTGAAACGCAAAAGTTTATTTTTTTGCCAACCAGGTTATAATAGTGAAAAAATATTTTACCAAGGTAATAAAAAAAAATCAAAAATAAAACCTTTTAAATAAAAATAGACATTTTACAATTAAAAACAGTATTCACTCGGAAAATACAATCTAATAACAAGTACTTAAGCCTGAATTTCCTGAATTAAAAAGTATATAAATCAGTCCTTTTACAATTGAATTCAATATTATTGAAGATGTGTGTTATGTGGTCCTGTAATAAAAGCAACTTTATTTTGACATATACGCATGCCCAGTTTTGCGTCCTTTCTCAATCTCGTTTTGAAAATGCTGCCCCAAGTAGTGTGGAATATGGATTGTATTATCTTCACATTTACTAACATTAGGGTATACTGAAATATCTGCATCAAATTCGGCCAACATTTCCACTACCTTTAAAAAATAACCATTATCTCTATGATATAGCTTCGTACTAGTCCCTCTGACTGCCAAATTTCGACTCGCTAAAAAGTATATTACAGAAATCAATCTTTTAATGATGGTGCGCCATCGCTTTTTCTCTCCATTCTTTTTCTTCTTTTTATGTTGTAACGATTATTTTCCCTACCACAGAGGGTATTGCTATAAGGGGTTGAAAAGTGGGTACAGAAATTACGGGGCTAGAAATAGGGTAAGCAAAACAAATCGAATCATATGCGAACGGCTACTCAGGGTTTATTTGGAGAACTGGATCGTGGATAAGTGAATGATAAGGGGATTGAATGGGGTAACTACTAAAATTGAAACAAAGCTATTTAAAGGTTATTTAAAATGAGGACGCCGCTTTGAAGAAATATTCCTGCTGCATGAAAGAAAAGGCTCCTCTTTCCTAAAAAATATAAAAAGGGGTTAGAAACTTTTTCAAAAGAAATAAACAAAATGGTTTAGGAACAAAATTTAATATTTATTGTTGTCTCACCACAAACAGTTTACAACTAAAAATAATAACAATGAAATACAAAATATCAAAAACAAACTTATTACAAAACTTACAATTTTTAATGGGCGACAATTTGTAACGGAAAAAAATTAGAAATGAAAAATAGCTTTTAAATGGAACTATGGATAGTGGTAAAAAAAAAACAAAAACAAACTAACGTCAAAAAATAAAACTACTGTCAGATGTCAATATTGAATTTTAAAACAGATTAATTAATATGACAGCTAGGCCACAACCTAACATCTACATTTTTAATTTAACAGTTTCTTAAACTGTTATGAAAGCAATTATTATTAGAAAATGTTTATTTTTCCTTTAAAAGTCCAACAAAAAAAGTTACCTGGATTTCACTAAAATTTGTTTAAAATTTCTGGGGTTGGGAACTGGACTTCACTGGAGATTTACTGCCACACAAAAAACTGCATCTCACATTGCGAATTAGCCTAGAATACTTTTAAACAGACAAAATGAGGCTGGAAGCTGTTCACTGGGACGAAAATTTTAGACTAGTCTTCATAAAAAACATGTGGTTGTCCTTCAAAGTTTTTTTAAACGCTGTCTTACAAATATCTCAGTTGAGAGACGGCATAGAAATAAAAACAGTGATTACTCTTTCAGAACTGACACATTACATTGAGTAAAAATAACTTTTTCTAACAAATTTGTCGGTTCACTCAAACTACACACGCTGCCGTCTGCTCTCCATGACCTTTCCTCCAAACCTTAATAACTGCACTATTAACTGCTAATTAAAATACATATTTTTTAAAACATAAGACGAAAAATGAAAAAACATTACAAATTTGACGAAAAATTTGGACTAACCTGAAACCAACTGCCTTTGACAGTGGCTCCAGCGAGTGTGATGTAATTCTCTTTAAAATTCATTCGCCCAAATCGGTATAATCAAAACATATACGGTTAAATTTCTATTTATTTGACACGCAGAATATCCTAAAAGCGGCTTCGATCAAAAGAATAAACAAACTTTAAAATGTGTCTATATCAACTCCAGCGATGTAAAAAGATTGAAAATACTTTTTCGGTGTTTTAATACATGCGGGGTGATTTCAATATATACCAAAGAATTTACATCCTTTTGTCACTTTACTCATCCATCTTAGCGTTCTAATCTTTCTCCAAATGGTATTAATACTTCTTTTCATATTCCATCACATTTTTTCTACTGTTTTTTCCCTGCTTTCTACTGTTATATGTTTAACGAAATCCATAATACATTAAAAATATATATTAAAACAATATTTAGCAACACATAATCAAAATAATCAAGTTCTACTTATTTTTAACAATTTTTCCATTTTAGGGAAGATTATGTTAAGTGGCAAGGTCCTAATTCCACATTTAGTAAAGGATCTCAGAAACTAGCCCAAGGAGCAAACTCGTCCTTATTGACAGAAAGAAGTTACAAGGCCTGCGGACCAAATCGAAATCTTATAAAAGGCCCTCAGTGTGGACTAGCCAAAGGAAGTATATTTTCGCAATTTCAAACAGCAGTCGTCGTTGGAGAATCCCGCGGTGAATAACATTACAGATGTTGCATTTTGTAAATCTTTTAACATTTCAGGATTTTACTAGTCACATTCTTAATTTTTGTGTTCACTTTAGTCTTATGGGCCAAGTAATCTTAGTCCCTCATATTAAATGCAAAATATATTAGTTAGTATCCGTTATGATCGACACAAACTTAACCTGGTTTGATAATAATATTAATAACATGTTTATTAAGTGCATTAACCATTTTACATAACACATTTCACTCAACTTTTATCCGAATGGTCCTAAACTATGGTCTTAAATTTGTAGTTACATATACTGATTTTATTTCCTTTTTTTTTAACTTCGAAAAAAATATGCGTAACATAGGTATGAGGTACTGCAATGTAGAGGGATATTTATAGCTTCGAGAAACAGGTTACGAGCAACAGAAATAGTTGTCAGTAATTGATACCTGGAATTTTGTTACCACCTTGTGATTAAAAAAAGGTGTAAGTTACTAGCCTAATTTCTGATAAATTGAAAAGTGCTTCACTTGTTCATTGTTTGAAAAGACGTCTTCAAATGGATTACAATTACAAAAAAGCTCTATACTCACACAAAACATGCTCGTAAGGGCCGTGTTTTAATACACTTTACAATTTTTTTATGCAGTCTTTAGTATCATCAGTTTTTGAAGCCAATATTTTACCCGATCAGTGGCCGGCCGGCAATTTTTCAGGGCACATCCGTATTTGTACGGATCCAAATTATTGGATTTATCAGTTTTTACAGATTATTCTACAAATTACATGTCAAATCCCTTGAACTCAAACAATAAAAAAGGAATGTTGTGGAATCATCATCATCTTTGGCTCGACAATCCTCTGTGGATCTTGGCCTGCTCTAAGATTCGTCGCCATTCTGTTCGGTTTTTGGCAACATGTTGCCATCTTCTGACTTTTAATATTCGTAAGTCGGTTTCTACTCCATCTAACCACCTAATTCGCGGTCGGCCTTTACTTCTTTTTCCTACAGGTGTTCCTGTGGTTAGCTTTTTAGCAATGGTATTTTCTGGCATTCGTATTATGTGTCCAGCCCATCTAAGTCGCTGTGTTTTAATGAACGTTATGACATCTGGCTCATGTTGTGGAATACTAAAGAATATATCGAGAATGATTGAAAAAAGAAAATATAAATGGATATACAAGTCTTTCAACAAGGTTTTAAACCTTTAACCTTTAAACCTAAGTACCTTCTGTACCTTTAAACAAAGTACGAAAAAATTCAATGACAACAGTCCAATCTATAATATGCCTCAGCAACTTAAGCTTATTTTCTTTTACATTAAGTATAATTTCCATTTTTTTCTATTTCTCTGTAGCACCTGTTGGTTTTCTCCGTCATCTCAGGAGATTTTTAAATTGAGGTTACTAATAGACTATTCACTTCGAAATGCGTCTACCAGTCCGCTGTGCCATTGAGTCTTCTACTTTCTAGGTATTGTGTAGATTATAGTAACAAGTTTAGGATTTTACCTGTCTGCGCAGAATAAAAACTGAGAAACTATTCTGTTAAACAAGTATTTTCTATAAGGATGAATACTGCCTTCCTTGATTATTTTTGTACAAACTATATGAAAGAAGTAGAAGTTAGATTCGACTTATAAAAACTTAGTAGTAAGTGTAGTCACTGCTGTCCACTGCGTATAGCGGAGTTCCAAGTTAGTCCATTGTCAACTTGGTATTGTCACGCAGTATCAATTTATAAACATTTACAGGTACTGGTTGCTACCCCCAAGCGAGAAAAATTTTATCCTTTGTTGAATTGTCTTTCCTATACTAGCTGTTTGGCCCAAGAAGAAGAAGTTTCAGTGTTCATTCAATATAAAATAATTCCAATTTAGTGTTATGTGGGTATATTCGATTGTCTAGAGCAAGTTGAGAATACCCCCTGAATTGGCTGGGCAAATTATCCCCTGGGATATTACCCAATAAAGGAAGAAGAAGAAGGCATTTACAGGTTATGTCCTCTTTGGGTACCGTCATAGACATATAATACAACGATGCCGTACGCTATGTTGCGTGTAGGCATTCAAAATGTCAAAACAAAAGTAAAATGTAATTGTCATAACAATTAATTGTGTTGAATCCATCGAGCAAAAAGACAAAAGAGGGAATGTAAAGATAGTGGGGACAAAAATATCGTTAGACAGGAAATGCCATCTTGAGAGGCTACATTAAACAAGGAAAGAGAATCTTTCATTGTTTAATAAATCAAATTTAGTTGGGTTGTTTGTCCCAACTGTCACATGAAAGCTTATTTATATTGAAGTTTTTTAACAATTGTGTCACATTTTAGACTGTTATCGTTAATATTTATTTAAAGTTTCTCGTCTAAGACACATTCTGAAAACTATTTTATAGCTACTGTTAATAAGTGTCGGAAAATTTAAATTTGGCGCATTCGCATTTCCAGATATGTCCGCCATCAGAGGCCACTTTTTGGTCTCCTTTTCATAACGACTAGATTCCCTCTTTTGTATTTTTGCTCGATGGTTGAATCCCACATTAAACAATATTCGGATATTGTCTAGGATACGTTGCGGTGAAGATAGCTACAAAGAACATCCACAGAACTAAATATTTGCGTTTGGCAGTGTTGCCAGTAATTAGAATGTATATGTTGTATGTCTCAAATATACAGAGACAAAGCTTTGAAAAAGCATATTTTTATTATATTATTTTATGAATTGTGCTATTTTTTAATTTATATAAAACACGAACAACAAATAAATATTTGTTTTTTTTTTATATTGATTGCAGTTAATTATTAGACAATTGTTTTTGGCAATTGCCCTTTTATAGATTAGCTGATAGATTTGGAAATAGAGTCAGAAATCTCAAAGCACTAGTTGCCACATTACAACAGATGTTCAGCAGATATCAATTTTATGGCCATTTCGTTATAATTTTGGGATGAATGGTACCTGAATACTGTTTTGTTACTCTCTTAGTTACTGGAAGTTGTTCAGTTTGTCAGTACATGGTTGAGATTAAACTATCATTATTGACAATTTAACCTATAAAATTTGAATTTATAAATCGTGTATTTTCTTGACAGCTGCCGATTTGGTGGCTGAAATCTTTAAATGTTACATCGAATAAAAAACTAAAAATTTATGTTAAAATCTTAAAACAGCAGAATTTAACTTATTTTGCACTTTTTAACTTTAGTCTTTATTCTAAAATTTTAGTACTTCGACATAATTAAAGAAGATTCAACATTTTTCTTATTATTTTTAATGTTTTATACCATTTTATACCAGTTTATACCATTTTATGTTTTCCATGTTTAATAAATTGATTTATATGGCAAGCTCTTTCCCGATTTATTATAAGGACATGGCAACACTACTTAACACCAATTTTTAGTTCTGTCATGCATCATTTGTAGCTATCTTCACCGCAACGTATTCTGGACAATGTCCAAATATTTAACTATAATACAGTTTCTAAAAGAAAAAGCAAACAAACGTACCTCAGACTAGAAATTTTAAAATGCAAATAAAATAAAAATAAAACTATCATTATTGCTATTGACAATAGCAATTATATTGCTCAAATCTATTATTGGCCCACACAAAACAAGTTGATAGAGCCCTGAATAAAACATACAGGATATCAACAGAATATTAATAGGATAGTACCTCACTCAAGCTTATTACCTTAGTACCTCATTTACAAAGAGGCGGCAAGTGCCTCACTCCACAAAGAATGGTTGAATAGCTTCTGAATATATAAAAAAATGTTAAACAAACATTTTAAAAAACTATACCACTCTAGAAAAGAAACCTTTACCTCTAGAAAAGAGAACTTTTATTCACCTTCAGAACGTCGTCACACATATTTAAATGATCATATACTTTTTATAAGGCGTGTATATTCGTTTACACAAACTTATCCATGTTTTGAACTATATTTGCTGAAATTTATATTGTAATATTTCATTCTGTCTTTTAGTTTTGTGTAAGGGTTAAAAATATGTTGGAAATTACTTATGGGTGATATATTTGGATGCATCTTGACAGAAACTTTTGACTTCTGGTTGATACATCATAATAAACCGTTTTATAAAGGGTGTATAATTCGTTTACACAAACTCCATTTGCAGAAATTTAAATTGTAATATTTCATTCAGTTTTGTGTAAGGGTTAGTATATGTTGAAAATTACTTATGGATGTTATATTTGGATGCATCTTTGCCGAAACTCTTGACTTTTGGTTGATAAGTAATAATAAACCGTATAAAATGTTTAGGCGATGATTTTTGAACTTATTATCAATGTTTAGAGTAGATATTATACCGTTTTTTTATTACTAAAAGGTTAAGTTTTCAGATACTAAGTAATATTCGGACTGCTATAATAGTGACGTCACATGAGATTGGTGGATCTATAATAAATATAAACCTAAACTATTATCGGCATAAAATTAGATACTGTTTAAATAAATACTGCAGAATGATCTCTGCTATACAAAACTCGGATGGACATTCGTGTTAAGAGCATAGGCACAAAATGTCACTTGTCAAAATGTTCATTGTTTTAAATGCATTCATTTTTTTTAATCCTGAGAAAACTAATAAGAATATTTAAAAAATTTAAACGCAGAATGGAATATTACGTTATTACTGAAGGTCGAAAGTCCCTGAAAACTTCTATAACGTTTATTTTAATAAGTTACAGGAGTGAAAAGAAAACATTTAATGTGACTTTCCAAATTCCAAATATCTCATTCAAAAAACTTCTATAATGTTTATTTTAATAAGTTACAGGAGTGAAAAGAAAACATTTAATGTGTCTTTTAATTCCAAATATCTCATTCAAAATAAACATTTTGAATATTCTAAGATACTTTTGGCCCTCGGTAATAATGCAATCTTTCGTTCTTAAATTTTTCAAAAATACTTATTAGTTTTCTCAGGATTCGAAAAAATGAATACATTTAAAACGCATTGAACATTTTGACAGGCGACATTTTGCGTCTATGCCCTTAAGTGCATTTAGAAAGTTTCGTAAGTTCCATTCCTCGTGTGGTTCTCACTTTAGTAGTCCTTTTACAGTAAAAACTTTTAATTTAATTTAATAAGCATTTTACTTTTGAAACTGATCGAAAATATTCGAATAAACATTTTTTTTTTGTTATACGAACAATATATATTTTTTTAATTAACCAAAGATAGATCGAATATTTTCTGTTTCGACATATTTTGAATATTTTTCAATGTTGTTAAAGGTTGTCAAAGGAAAACAATGGATATTGACAGGTGTTATTAAATCTATGTTTGTAAATTAATGTTTAGAACAAGATAATAAGTATAATTAACCAACTAAATGTTATTTGTTGTTAATGTTAGATAAGACGCATGAAACATGATAAATCAAATATCCATAATTTTCCGTCCCTCACTTATTCGTGTTAATATTATATTGTATGCAACAACTTAAAAGACAATCTTTAATTTTTTGTTATAAGGTATGGCACAATTAAGGCTAAAAAGATCTTTAAGTGTATTGTAAAATAATAGAATATACATGCGATTATTTTATTATACATTTGAGCAGTTCTATAATATACATCAAATGTCATTTGTGGTTAGGTGCTCAAAATGTATTTTTGTGTCGAATTATCGGATTCCTCCAAATGACGAACCGATTTCAAGCATTCGTTTAGTGGCGTATCTATTACTACTAAGTATTGGGAGGGTATTAGTTATAGTTCATTGCAAGATATTTCGGATTTAATCTTCTAGGTATAGTTGTATACAGGGCCGAACTTATATACTCATACATTTTCAATTTCAAAATTGCGGCAATCCCAACAAGTAAAAGAAAAATACATTAAGCAATACTTTTATTTTAAAATCTATATTTAACATAGTAAAAAAATACAGAAAAATGTAAACTTAACTATCGTCTACATTTAAATCGGTGTCACTATCATCGCTATCGTTTAAATTTATAACTACTCTATTTATAATGTTTTGGAACTGGAAGTATTTTTCTTCTAGTTTATTGACATGCTCTATACACTTTTTACCCGTCATACCCGTCACTGTTTCATTGCCACCTACTCGACTCGAACTTCACCATAATTGACGTTTGTTGTTTCTATATTTAATAAATCCCGTTTATACATTAATATTGGGAACATTGCAGAAAACAACTAAACTAACTAATAAATCGGAAAGGAGAAGAGTTTAAGAGATATACATAAATGAGAAATTTTTAAATAGATTTTAAAAGGAAGGCCGGAAAATGTGAATAGATTTATACAGTCATGGAAATTATAGGAACAGCGCAAAACAAACTGTGGTTGCAAGGATAGGCCGTAAACCGTGTTGATCTTTTGACTATCGCTACAAATACTAACATTAATTCTCTTGATTCTTTGTATGGTGGTTTACAGCCTAAACATAGTTTACAGCCTGACAAAATCTGGAATTCATACTTTCTGTCAGTCCGAAAGGTTCTGGGCCAATAAACATTTTTTTTGCTCCTCCCATGACAAGTAGGTCCGCTTTTCTTTCAC